ATATATATATACACACACACGTGCACACGACCACACATGCAGCGTCACATGGGCACGAAAACATATACTCAAATGCGTCGAAACATACATTTACATACATTTACATACATTTGCATACATTTACATACGTTTACATACATTCACATACATTTACATACATTTACGTACATTCACATACATTCACACACATCTACCTACGTTTACATACATTTACATACATTTACATGTTACACACATTTTACATGCATTTACATGCATGTGCATACGTTTACATACATTTACATACGGACACAACCACGCACATCAACGAAGGCTTTACCGGAAGGAATTAGTCTGGTCAGTTTTGCTCGTCACAAGGTTTTGAACATCAACGCCACGTTTGGCCCACCCTAGCGCATGAGGCCGCGAAAAACACTGTACACACGGCACATCGAGGTCAGTTGGACTTGAGCTTGCAGGAACGTCTTACACTCCTGATACTTTCCAACAAAGGTCCGGGCTGGACACCGGCGTTCCAGTCTGCGTTTTGCACGACGCACCAAAAAAAAACAATACACAGTACTTTGACGAACAGCGCTGCTGTGACATTCTAGGATCGGCCCAGGACTGTCCACCTGTGCATCCAATGATGTGCTGTCAGGCAGTCCCAGAGCTACAGACCACGCCGGACTAACATGGATTCACAGAGCTCACACTCAAAAATGAGCTTGCCTCTGTGCTCCCTCTTGTCAGGGCTCTCTTGTTCGGACGCTGAAGCACATTGAAACTGTGACATTCATGGCTAGCACTGCAGCAGCACCGCAGCGCAGCTGCAGGACCGCTGCACTTGCATCACTGCTGAAAACCGACATCTTCAGAAGGCCTTCGGCACGGCAGTGCAGAAGGTCACAATGCGTTGCAATCTGCTCATGGAGGGCCACCGGCTACTTTCCACAACTGGTCCAGACAATGCCGTCCCGAGGAACTGCCCTCAAGTCAGTTCCACTCAAAGGCCACGAATTTCTAGATCGGAACGCGTCTGGTCGTTGAGGATTAGGACGCACGCACCCGAGGTTTTTCCCACTTCTTCGGGCTTTCCCCTTTTTTCATGTAAGACGGCCTTCCTTGACTTCAGGAATCTTCTACAAGTACGGAATACCTCAGGAGATCATGCCTCCACATTCTGCCAACAGTGCCAATTCTGGCTGTTGGCAAAGAACTGTTCGATGAAGGATAGCGCAAAGCAGTCTGAATCAGAGAATCCACGGTGAGGCAGATTTCAGGTGAGAGGTTCAAAAATTGGTTCTCTCCGGATGGAGAGTTGCACGGAAAGACTTGGAGACAGGTTGCATCCTCAAGGTCTGTACACTGCGGTCCTGCTCACTTGCACTATTTTGTGGTGCATGCCACGACACCTGACGGGGACTCACTAGACTGCAGAACTTCCACGTCTACCAGAGCTCAGCAAACATGTCTCTGGCCAACAGCTCGTGGTGCCTCTGGCGCTTCTCCATCTCCAACCTTCGAGCTAGCGCGACAGTTGTGGGCAACGGAACATGGGAAAGGCCACAGTGCTTGCTGAAAGCGAGCTGCAGCGAGGACTCGGAACCGGCCCGCGTCTCTGTACCTTGGCTGTGGGGCTATGGGCTTCGGAGGCTCTCGATAAAACTGGGAATCGTCACTAGGACACTAGGGCACCAACAGCAAATGGGAAATGCGGACGGCTCATGCACGTACCAACCGGCGGCCGTATCTGGACTTCTCCAACTGGGGAAGAGCCTGCAGGCGGAGACTCCAACTACGTGCTCTGATCATACCTCGGACCACAGCAGCTATCAGCAGCTCACAGAGTGCTCACATGTGCTCGCGGCGGCACCTCTGCGAGCCGGCTGTGGATCTCGTCAACGACAGGACTTCTGCACGTGGAGATCTGTTGGAGGATGCTGCTCCCGCATCGGCTGCAGGCAATGTTGGCAACCTGCGCAGCTTAGCTTATAGGCTTATTTATACGCGACTCTCCAGAAACCTTGTGGATGGACTGTTGCGCCCTGCTGCGCCTGAACGGACTTGTTGCGCACCCCTTCCAGCACCGCTTCAGCAATAAGCTGCCTGAGCAACTCAGCCCTGACACGCCAGCTGCACGATTGACATTGTTCTTTGCCATCCGGCTTTGCGACTGGGAGTCACACTCTAGATTCGCGTCGCTGATTTCTAGCGCTTTCCGAAGGACTTGCGATCCAGTGCGATGCATCCTCAAGGTGACATGCTGTCGCACAAGGGGAGGCACAGACTGGCTGCACAAGTCGTTACATCTGCTCGACGGAGGCTCGTCAGCATTGCTATCTCGGGCAACAGCTTCCGAAAAAGGAGCTCGCGGCACGTGGGGTTCCCGTACCTTGCGAACTGTGGATCAAAATGGGAGCATCGGTCTGTAGCTTCGAAGAGTACTAGACAGCCTAGACAAGTGGCTCAACCAAGGTTTGAAGAACTCGGCTTCCATGAGGATCTCTTGCAAGCGACGGTGCTGCCTGCACTGCAAGCTTCAAACTCTCAAACCAGGCCTTCCGAAGGCAGCCAAGTTCTCGCGGGAATGAGCCCTGGGTCAACACTGAGCCCTACGCTCTCCAAAGCAAGTCAACATTGGTCCAATGCACAGTAGCTAAATACGCGTCTTTGTACAGTGACAACTGTGCAAAGACATTCCATGTGCCTCCACCACTTTCGAGGAAATCTCCACTAGCTGGGAGGGGTGGAAATGCAGCAGCATCGATCTTGGTGCACCGCATGTCAGTGGTACTAGGTAATGCGACAGTCGTAAAGCTTAGTGACTTAGTGCTGCTGTGCTTTCAGAAGCTGCTTCAGAAGCTGCAATTGAACTCGTTTACTATATGTCTACGCTTCCGAATTTTAGACATGCTGCAAACTCAGAGACCATACTCTGTGCTTGCGAGTGCTGCAGACATTCGTGATTCGTGACTGGAAGATAACAAAAAACCGCCATACTTCTGCACGCTCGCATGCTGTAAGATTGCAATGCCTGACTGTACCTGCGTCCGAGTGTTGCAAATGTCGTGAACTTCCATACTTCTGTGCCTGCGAACGTTGCAAATTGAGATGCTTCCGGGATCTTCCTTTGCTGCTCACTGCTGCACATGCTGCGAATTTCCATCCTTCCCAGCATTCCAACAATCAATAATGCTGTGAAAGCTGTACTTGTAGCATTGCTGCGCTAGCGAACATTGCGAACGCATAAAATCAGCAGACTTATGTGCTTGCAGAATCTGCAAAAGCTGTGTAGCTACTACTGTGTTGCTGTGCTTGCCGAGTACTGGACAAGCCATAAATCGCAGCATGTTTGCGCTTTCGACTTCTGGAACCTGCGGTAAGTTGTGAGGCTGGAAATGCCAAGGATTAGAACGTTCTCTGTGACAAGCCGAGCCAAGCTAAGCCAAGCGAGACCGAGACTGAGCCAAACCAAATCAACCCAGCTCCAGCTACGACCCTAGAAAAAAAAAAGCCAGCCCAGAGTACTCATCCCCTTGCCGTTGAACTGCATGTAAGTCCACAATGCCTACCCAACTCCACGAACCAACGACCAACAAACAACTCAGAAGAGTCCACGCGGCTCCATGACATTGGAGGCATAGCGATGCATCGAGAGCAGCTTCTTAGCTTCAAAGGGAGGGGAAAGCCCTAAGTTCCAGAGATCCGATGCCACGGGCAGATCATCTGCAATCGAGGATCACAGTTCTGAATCATCTCGCAGACCATGAAACCCAAAGAGAACACTGGAACGCTGTCAATGAGTTGCACGAGCATCTCGTGGCCTGTCAGACCGGAGCATTGCTATGACAGAAAAAGCCATGATCCTTCAGGTGCTCCGTGGCCTGATTTGGACTGGCACAAGTCCAGTACTGAACCACGAAAAGCCGAAAGCAAGATTGGTCTGTCCTGTGCTGGGCGAAACACGCTCAAACTGTGAAGAAACGTTGCTCGACATGTGGCCAAGCCGCAGAGCTTGTGGCCACCTCGATTGCGGCCCGAATAACACCCTGCTGGGCATGTGCCAGAGAGGGCAGCGCAGGTGCCAAAAAGGAAAGGGCTTCTTTCCGCCCACATGGGTCAGCTGCCTCGCAAGGCCGGAGGTCAAACAATATGTGCTTTGTGCCTCACTGTGGTAAGAGTTTCCCGCTACTCTGCGGTGTCCGGTGAAAATGACTCTGTGTGTGTGTGAGAGTGAGTGAGTGAGTGAGTGAGTGAGTGAGTGAGTGAGTGAGTGAGTGAGTGAGTGAGTGAGTGAGTGAGTGTGAGTGAGTGAGTGAGTGAGTGAGTGAGTGAGTGAGTGAGAGAGTGAGTGAGTGAGTGAGTGAGTGAGTGAGTGCGTGCGTGCGTGCGTGCGTGCGTGCGTGCGTGCGTGCGT